CAGAGGCAGGCAGATTTCTAAGTTCGAGAGTTCGAGGCTAGCCTGGTCTACAGAGTGAGTTCCAGGACAGCCAGGGCTACACAGAGAAACCCTGTCTCGAAAAAACAAACAAACAAAAAAACAATAAAAACAATACAGATGTCATCCCCTTGTCCAAATTCCCATCCCTAGAAACCTCCTATTCCATTCCCCCCTCCTCCTTTTTGCTTTTATACCATTTTAATTACATGCAAGGGTTAAGGTCAGTTCTAGGTTGAGGAACTAGCAATACAATAGATGCAAACAGTCAAGCTGATGGACGTGAAAGGGCCCAGCTCACTGTGGTTCTGTTCATATAAGAAACCAAGCCAACCAATCATGTGGAGGCTAGTTTCATGCCAACTTGGCACAAGTTAGAGTCATTTGGGAAAAGGGAAACGCAACTGAGAAAATGCCCCCAGTGGATTGTCCTGTGGGTATATGTGGCATTTTTTTATTCTGGGAGGGGCCCAGCCCACTGAAAGTGGTACCACTCCTGACCAAGTGGGTCTGGGTTGTATAAGAATGCAGGCTGAGCAAGCCATGGGAAGCAAGCTCATAAGCAGTATTCCTAGTCTCTACAGTTCCTACCTTGGCTTCCTTCAGTGATTGACTGACCCAAAAGCCAAATAAACACTTTCCTCCCCAAGTTTGTTTTGGTCAGTATCTTATCACAGCAGGAGAAATCACAGTAAGACAATACAGTAAATAATTTTAACTTTATATGAAGGCTTTATATTATATTCTGATATCTATTTTAAACACATTTGCTTCAGTCAGTTAAAATGGAAATAAATATATAACTGACTTACTGGTGCTACTGAGTAACACAATGATTAAACAAAGAAGCTCTAAATGTATTAATAGTGATAATACATTGATTATGTTCATATAAACATGATGTGTATATATCCAAGGTTATGGATAACAGTACTCAGTGTGGTACTAAAGTTAAGCTACACACATTCAAAAATCATTTTGGTTATCTGTTACTGGTAAAGAAAAAATATTTCATTTCCCTGGCACTCTAGTGTGGTTCAGAGTATGAATCACCAGGAAGGTAGCAGAAATGCACACTCTTGCCCTGATCTTCTGAGTCTATCTGGATTCTTGCCTGAGTGACTACTGGAAGTCAGAGGAAAGGAAACAGAACCCCACTGAGAGAGTCCTGCCCTCATGCAAACTTGGGGTTGGAGGTTTTAGAAGTTCCTCCAACTTCCATGCCTCAGGCAAATGAACAGAATTTTCTCAGGAAAAAACAAGTCAAATACTCTTTAAAGATAAAAGGGATTGAAGAAAAGACCCATCATCTTAACAAGCAAGCCACTGTCCTGTGATATTATTCACATTTTGGGAAGAAAATATGTAGAACCCCTCTCCAACCTGTGTTCAATCCCCAGGACCCACATGGTGAAAAGGAGAAAACCAACTTCCACAAGTTGTCCTTTGACCCCCTTGTCACACACACCACCACCAAACAATGAAATAAAAATGTAATGTATAGGGTTTGGTTTTTTTTAAGCTCCAAATGAATCACCATTCATAAACTGACAACAGTATTTCCAGTTACTGCTATGTGTAACAGGGGATCCTGGTCTGGGCATAGGAGAGCATTTTCATGTGGAATAAACAAATCAATAAGGGATGAATGATACTGCTGACATCACTGCTCTTTGTTTTGTCCAGATCTCTCTAATCTGTAAGGTGTTAACTACCTGGCCCACTTCTCTCTGGGTTGATGCCAAGAGTCTGGGTTTTATGTCACTCCTCTGCCTGTGCGTCTCCATCTCCACTTCCACCTCTGCCCATCCACACTCAGGGTAAGGCTGCTACCTGAATCTTATTTCCCAAATCCTCCTTCTCATTCCTCCTCACTCAGCATTTTTTTTCTTTCTTACTCTTTTTTTTTAAAGATTTATTTATTTATTTTATTGATGAGTATACTGTAGCTGTCTTCAGACACACCAGAAGAGGGCATCCAATCTCATTACAGATGGTTGTGAGCCACCATGTGGTTGCTGGGATTTGAACTCAGGACCTCTGGAAGAGCAGTCAGTGCTCTTAACCGCTGAGCCATCTCTCCAGCCCTCTTTCTTACTCTTTTTTTTTTTTAAGATTTACTTATTTATTTTATGCATATGAGTATATCACCATTGCTCTCTTCAGACACACCAGAAGAGGGCACCAGACCTTGTTACAGATGTTTGTGAGCCACCATGTGGTTGCTGGGAATTGAACTCATGACCTCTGGAAGAGCAGTATGGTGCTCTTAACCACTGAGCCATCTCTCCAGCCCCCTCTTTCTTACTCTTAATGTCCTCTAATCTTCCCTTTAAACCAGCCCACATGTGTGAGAGCTGGCATAAAACTCTCCAAGTGCAGTCCCCATCTTGCCATGCATCCACACTAAAACCTGCCTTGGCTATCTGCCACGTGCACGTAAAATCACTAAGCTCTGCATTCTACACTTCCCTAATTTGGGCCTTCCATGTGCCTCTCATGATCTTCGTTATGTAATTCTCAGTTTGTAGGCAGGCACATAACTGGCTGTTAAGGTTACCTGTTTGGCAGTTGAACCTTAGATTTGAGTCTTGGCAAGTCCTCTGATGACTCAAAAGATCCTGAAACCTGCTTACCCTCTTTACAGCTCATTTTCCTCTGCATCATGGGGATTAAAGATGCTACCTAAAAGAAATCTATTACAAGTAATAGCTGTAATTTAAACACCGGGCAGATTGTGATAAATTTTTAAATCTTATTTTAACTTTTCTCTTACAGTTAGTGAAAGTTATACACCAAGCCTTCCTTCAATGATTGGTGACGGGAGGAGAGCTATGAAACACTATAAATAATCTCGGGATTAAGAAATAAATTCTCACCAGGCAGTGGTGGAACACACCTTTAATCCCAGCACTTGGGAGGCAGAAGCAGGCGGATTTCTGAGTTCAAGGCCAGCCTGGTCTACAGAGGGAGTTCCAGGACAGCCAGGGCTACACAGAGAAACCCTGTCTTGAAAAATCAAAAAAAAAAAAGAAGAAGAAGAAAAAGAAAGAAAGAAAGAAAGAAAGAAAGAAAGA